TGTAAATAAAATACATCATCGGGTTATCAAAACTTGAAGAAATCTTGTAAATCTTCACATCAATTCTTGTTCTTGCCTTCAAATCCTCTCCAAGATGAATGTTTTTGCCTCCCAATTCGGTCGTGCGGCTTTTGGATGTTTATTTGCTATTTAAACCCGTTCAAATTAGGTTACCGAAGGAGTTGCAATCATATAAGGAAACTGCAAAAATCGGGGAAAAATTATACCTATGCGACCGCATAGGCATAAGAAAAATGACGTTTTTGATCCCTGGAGGGTCACTCGCGACCGCATAGGTTTTATACTATGCGACCGCATAGTAGAGCTAACTTCTAATTTGAGTCATTTTGATTCTCAAGCTTCATTTCTTCACTCCTTGACCTCCTCTCTTGTTCCTAGTTGCTCCAATATTCCATTATAACTTCCAATTGGTGCTTGGCTTGATCAATTGCTTGATGCGTTCATCGGGTCAACTTTCAGATAATTGCAATTTGGTCCCTGAATTTTCATTTTGCTTCAATTTGGTCCTTTTTTTGGCTCTTTTCTCCTGAATTCCACTATTTTCATAGAATTACCTACATTGCATGAATTTGACAAAGTTAAGTAATAATTCAATCATTTTAATTGTATTTAAGTCATGTTTGTGATGTAAATAAGTGTGCAAAAACACACTTATCAAACCCCCCAAATTTGAACTATTGTTTGTCCTCAAACAAGATAGTGATATAATTCTGAACAAACATGGCTTAATACCTTGTCTTGGCTCAGGATTGGACTAAGTAATTGATTTTATGAAATTTATCAGTGCAAAATGACATCAACCTTTACCTGTTAAGTGCATACTTGACGTGTGTGTGTGGATTCATGCTAACATATCAAGTTCATGATGAGTTTGAGTCCCGACATCTAAGTGGTCAAATATCTCCTTACTTGCTCGAGAAATACACAACCCCCCAAACTTATTCTTTTTACTCAATTATCTCGGAGTTGTGTTTAAAAATTATGAGTTTACCTAGCTATAGTTCTCACCCTCTTGTAGTTTGGATTAATTTCACTATCACAAGTTCACATGTCAACAAATGGAGGCTCTCCTAGTTTTGATTGCTTCGACACTCTAGATTAAACTCGGTTACTTGCCTCGCCTCAAAGGTATAGTTTCTTCCACCAATTGTCCAAGGGCTTTTCTTCTTGTTATTGTCTCTTTTTGTTTTTCTCACTTTTCTCTGGTTTTCTGATTTTTTTTTATCATCTTCTCATTTGCTTTCTATAAACCCATATGACGAGTTTTAGGCCGGTGACTCCCAAACCAGTTGATTTTAGGGCACCAGGTTTTTAAACTCTTGCAGGCTTATTCACCTGAATTATAAAGGCTCGATCAGATGACACTTTTATTAACCTCTTTACCTCTTGCTTTCTATATGACCCATGCATCGAGCTTTAGGCCGGTGACTCCCAGATCAGTTGACCTTAGGGCACCAGATTTTGAAATATCTTTACAGGCTTATTTGCTCGAGTCATAAAGGTTGAAAAAGAAGTGTCTTATTCTCACAAATTAAGTTTATGCCCTTATTTTTCTAGACATCTGATATCCAAAACCAACCCTCAATTTAAGATTTTCACGTACTCTTCATCCCACTGGTCTAGGCAATCTACACAATAATTCATGCATGGAGCCTCACTTAGCTCAATGTTCTCCTATAATAGCTCAACTATCACCAAACTGTCTTAAGCTAGTTTACGGGTTAATTCAATAGAGGATTATAATTATTTTCTACTTTATGCTCAAAACTCCAATCACTTACCTAACATGTAAAACATGAATGACGTACGTGCATATAGAATGTCAAGTATTATATCAACAAGTATTAGTTGGCCTAATTAACACCGACTCCAAAGTTTTGAAATATACCAATCCAATAGTAACATCATAGCCGGCAAGGCGATTAGGCTCACACAAGCATACATAAGCATAATCAATATTCACTCACAAGCATGCCTTATGCAACAATTAGTCAAATTAAATCTGGATTGTGGAAATGCAATTAATTACATGCCGAATGTCTTTTTCAAATTATGCCACCATCCCTCAAACTTATAAAAGACATTGTCCTCAATGCGAAAATTAAGTTTAGATGGTAGAATTTAAGGAAAATGAATACAACTGAGGCAAACGATACTCCCCTGATCAATACGGGGGCTGCGATGGGAAGCTAGATCCTGCAGTATCATCAGCTGGAGGTGGAGGTAGGCGCGCCAAGATCTCTCTCATCAGTGCTGACTGCTGTGTCATTTCATCATGGATTCCCTCAACACGTGTCTCCAAACGGCCCAGACGCTCCCAAGTTTCATTTACCCTCATCTGGATACCATCCACCCTGCCCACATACACACTGAGTCGATTGTTCATAGTGTCCATCTCCCTCCTAGCTGCCTGGGCATCCTGGCGAGCAGCACGTGACATATCAGTGGAAATGCGGATGTCATGGTGGGCTGTATACATCTCAGTCGTCAAAGTCCCCATAGCCTGCTGGAGACTCTGTACGTCTCGGCTGGTCCCCGTGGTGGTGGTGAAAATCTGGCGCCACAGCTGTGTATTTAACTCAGCCTGTGGTGGAGGAGCTTGAGGCATCTCTTGCTCTGCTTGCACGTGACCTTGCTCTTCCTGCTGTCTGCGTCTTTCAATTTCTTGCTTTTCACAGTCATTTATCCTGGCTCTGTCTTGAGCCTTCAATGTACTGCGCTTTATGGTGGGGCTGGGTTTGGCAACCACTTCCCTGGATACAATGTTTATACCAGTAGCTATGCAAATTCCGGAGATGAGGCTTGGAAAGATCATTGAGCTGTGCCTATCTCCCAAGGTACCCACATGATGTATCTAATTATAGCAACGAGCGGCAAGATCAACCTTATTACCTCGCACCAAGTGATAAAGGAATCTAACTGTGGGATCTGTGAATGTGGTCTTGTGAGAGGTCAGCTCAATGTTGTTGCACATAAACAGCTACAGGATGGCTATAGATGGTGTCAGCTCAATCTGGTGCCACTCGGTGGTGGGGAATGGCCATGCATTTTGTCGCCCCAATAAGATCTCCGCCACTTCATGCCAATTGAAGTCACTTGGTATAGGGGTTATGTTTTTCCACGTGAGCTGGTAGTAGTCTTGAATAACCTCGGGTGAGAATGTGATCCATTTTCCCTTGACCCAAGTCTGATGCAGGTGGTCGGACCCTGGTGTGTCAATTTCTGTATTGAAGTTGGCGTAAAATTCCCCTACCAACAATTCATAACTCCGATGTGGCTGCTCCACTATTTTATCCCATTCACAGTTATGCACCAAAGTGGTCAGCTCGAAATCATGAAAGTCTTCCAATTTAACAGCCCGCTCTGGTGTCATTGTCCATCGACTCACTATGTTTTCATATCTGGCTGCTGCCTCGGAAGTCAAGAATCATTGTATCCCTCCTTCAGGCACTCGAGTGCGTGCTGTGCCGGATGACGAGCCAACCTTCTCCTTTCCTTTTGAAGTTCATTTTGGTGGCATCCTGCAAAGTTGGAAAATAACTAGCATTAGACATCTTGTTGTACAGCGAGAAATCGCATGAAATGAAAAGCACGTAAATCACAAATCCCCCAAACTTGTTTCAACAAGCATGTATACTACCACGGTGTGTAATGGACAATGTATGATGATTAGAGTAGTATAAATGTATAGTCCATATGAAAACATAAGAAAATTTGGGTGAATATGCTCATAGTGAAAGGGTTGGAGTCATGATTGAGTGTACACCTTCGGCCTCGGGCACCATTGAGAATTATCAAGATTGTTCCAGGCAACCTCCGGGCATATGGAAATATGCAATGAGGTCTAGCACATACCCAAATTTCAGCTCAATCGGAGTTCGTTTGGTGTGTCAAATAGTAGTGTAAAATAAGGGACGGAGGGTGCTGTGGGCATGCAATGACTTAGCTATATTGTGTGTGTTGATGTTGTCTAAGTCAAATTGGTTGGTAATACGTCACAACGAGTTATTCTATTCATCTAATAGTCATATGCCATGCTAGATGTTCATAATTGTATTAGATTACTAAAATGAGCATTTTATCGGACATGTTGTGGGTATTATAAAACCTTCATATGTTTGCCAAAACTTTACTATGTCACATGGTTCCCCATTCAAAAATCAATCACCAATCTCATTCACATTCATCAATCAAATGAATTTAATGCAACATGTACCAAATTACCCAAAAATTATCAATGTGGCAATTTATCAAACACCTAGCATGCATTCTTTAGAAATCCATATAAAACCCAATAACTCAAAATTCGAATTACCCCGTAACACAATTGAAGTGCAAATAATTCACTCCATCCACCATCAACACCCCAAAATGCAGAAAATCAATTCGAAAATGACTTAAACAAACGAGCACAATGGAGGAGATAGTCAAAAGTAATACCTTCAAGATGATGTGCAACTCTAACCTCGAGATCCTTGTGTAGTGTAGGTGAATGAAATGTAATCAAGTGTAGAAATCGGATCTAAGAAGAATTTGGGCGAGAGAGGATTTGGGAAGAAATTGATTTGAAAATAAAAGAAGTGATTCGGGCGCTATGCGGCCGCATAGTTAAAATCTATGCGGTCGCATAGGTGTAATGTTTTTTTGATTTTTGGTTTCGGTAGGTGTTTATGCGGTCGTATAGACATTTTTTTTAAAGAAATACAATAAAATAAATAATAAAAAAATGCCATTTTTGTCTAAATTTTTTTTTAAAGGACCCAGCTTTTAACGTCCTCAATTTTTCAAAGACATACTTTTAAAACATTGACATGTGAAATTTTGAAAACACAATTTGCCTCGAAATGCGTGAATTTCACATTGAACTACCCAAAAAACTCAAATCAACCCGAACTCGTGTGTGATACTTAAGGACTCGTGTGAACAGTGCTTGGACTCTTTTAACATGTCTAGATGATCGATGACCACATAACAGAATACTAAATGAATTTGAAAATAAACTTCCTAATCTAATGCAGAAAACATAATAAAGTAAATAAACAGATAAAAAGGATACAGTGGGTTGCCTCCCACCCAGCGCTAAGTTATAGTCGATAGCTCGACTTTTCTGCGGCTGCTTCATTCTGGCATCTCGAGTTGAACGGTTGGCTTTTGGTTAGAGAAGTCACCGCCCCAGTAGTGTTTCAACCTTTGCTCATTAACAGTGAAGGTACCTTATTCTCATTGCTCACTTGTATAGCCTCATATGGTAGAACTTTTGTAACTGTGTAGGGACTCGACCACCATGATCGTAGTTTTCCTGGGAATAGCTTGAGTCTCGAGTTATACAGTAGTACTTGCTGCCCCACTTCGAATACTCGCCTCTGAATGTGCATATCGTGCCACTTCTTGGTTCGCTCCTTGTATAGTTTTGCATTTTCATAAGCTTCCATTCTAAATTCAAGCAATTCATTCAGTTGCAGTAGACGCTTTTCACCGGTGGCATTCAAGTCCATATTTAACTGTTTCATAGCCCAATATGCCCGGTGCTCCATTTCTAATGGCAGATGACATGCTTTCCCAAAGACTAGGCGGTATGGAGACATGCCGATCGGGGTCTTGAATGCTGTTCTGTAAGCCCATAATGCATCGTCCAGCTTTTTAGACCAATCCTTTCTAGATGAATTCACAGTGACTTCTAGTATTCTCTTCAGTTGCCGATTAGATACTTCAACTTGCCCGCTGGTTTGTGGATGATATGGAGTAGCAACGCGGTGTTTAACGCCATATTTGTTCAACAGCTGCTCAAACTGGCGATTACAGAAATGCTTGCCCCCATCGCTGATTATAACCCGCGGTGTACCATATCGGGTGAAAATATATTTCTTCAAGAATCCAATTACTGTCTTTGAGTCATTTGTTGGCAATGCAACTGCTTCCACATATTTTGAGACGTAATCCACTGCCACCAAGATATACTGGTTTGAGAACGAAGGGGGGAAATGTCCCATGAAATCAATTCCTCAAATATCAAATATCTCCACTTCCAAAATATTGTTCAGTGGCATTTCATTTCTCCTCGAGATATTCCCAGTGCGTTGACATCTGTCACACCTCTTAACAAACTCAAATGTGTCCTTCGCACCTCCTCACTATCTGATCAGCTCCTCGTCTATAGAGAATTGGATCCTCCCAGAAATAGTATTTTAACTCGGCGAAGAATTTTTTTCTTTGGTGACTGGAGCAGTCAGGCGGTGGAATGGAATTGGCCAAGTAATTGACAATATCTGCGTACCAATGTGCTTCATCCACTCTCAACATCTGTTCATCCGGGAAGATCTCATTTATATTCACTAAATGTTCCGTCTTCCCAGATTCTAGTCTGGATAGGTGATCTGCTACTACATTCTCGGTGCCCTTTTTGTCGCGTATCTCAATGTCAAATTCTTGCAACAACAGCACCCAACGAATTAATCTTGGCTTTGCATCCTTCTTTGTGAGCAGATATTTCAATGCCGCATGATCAGTATAGACGATGATTTTAGACCCGACGAGGTATGACCTGAATTTGTCAAATGCAAATACCACAGCCAGTAGCTCCTTTTCAGTGGTTGCATAATTTATTTGTGCATCATTTAGAGTTCTGATTGCATAGTAGATCACATGAAAAATCTTGTTCCTCCGCTATCCCAATACTGCACCTATAGCGTGATCACTTGCATCACACATCAATTCAAAAGGTGATTCCCAGTCTGGTGCTACAATCACTGGTGCTGTCGTAAGCTTTTCCTTTAAAGTGTTGAAGGCTGTGAGACAATCCTCATTGAACTCAAAGGTTGCATCTTTCATTAGCAAATTGCACAAAGGTTTAGTGATCTTCGAGAAATCTTTTATAAACCTCCGATAAAACCCAGCGTGCCCCAAAAAACTGCTAACTCCTTTAACTGATGTAGGCGGTGGTAATTTTTCAATCACTTGAATTTTTGCCTTGTCTACCTCAATTTCTTTTGCCGATATCCTATGCCCAAGTACAATGCCTTCCTGCACCATAAAGTGACATTTTTCCCAATTTAAAATCAGGTTAGTCTCCTTGCATCTCTGTAAGACCAAATTCAAGTGGTTTAGACATTCATCAAATGAAGATCCAAATACTGAGAAGTCGTCCATGAAAACCTCAATAAACCTTTCAATCATATCAGAGAATATTCCATCATGCACCTCTAAAATGTGGCTGAAGCATTGCAAAGACCAAAAGGCATCCTACGATAAGCAAAAGTACCGTAGGGGCAAGTGAAAGTGGTCTTCTCCTGATCCTCTGGTGCGACAGATATCTGATTATAGCCCGAGTATCCATCAAGAAAGCAGCAGTGTGAATGTCTAGCCAACCTCTCCAATATCTGATCAATAAATGGGAGTGGGAAGTGATCTTTTCGTGTAGCTGCATTGAGTTTGCGATATTCAATGCAAACTCTCCAACCCGTAACTGTTCTGGTGGGAATTAGTTCATTCTTCTCATTTTTCACCACTGTGATTCCCCTTTTTTCGGTACCACTTGAACAGGGCTGATCCATGCACTATCTGAAATTGGGTAGATAATTCCTGCATCCAATAACTTCAGTATCTTTGTCCTGACTACTTCCTTCATGTTTGGGTTCAATCTTCTCTGACTTTCTATGCTAGGCTTGCAATTTTCCTTCATTAAAATTTTATGCATACACATGGAAGGACTGATTCCTTTAATGTCAGCTATTGTCCAACCAATCGCCGTCTTGTTCTCTCTAAGTACCCTGAGCAGTTTTTCCTCCTCCATCTCACTGACTATGTTCGAAATGATTACTGGAAGTGTATTTGATTCTCCTAAATAAGCGTATCTGAGATGTGGTGGTAGTTGTTTGAGTTCTAAAACTGGCGGCTGCTGAACTGAATGTAGTGGCTTTGTGTTTCCCATCCCCAGTTCCTTAAAGTGCCTCTTTCGTGTGTATGGTGGGTTGGTCTCCAAAAATCTTGCACATGTTTCAACTTCAAACGACTCTGACTGGATTGATTGGGATTGTGCAATACATGCCTCATAGGCATCAGATGGACTGTGTAGTAAGAATGTTTCTTGTGCTGCCTTGTCAATAATGTTGACTTGATAACAGCTGTCAGATTCTGCTGGTAATTTCATTGCCTTGAATACATTGAATGATATCTACTCCTCTCCCAACCTTAAAATCAACTTACCTCTTTGAACATCAATTAATGCTCTCCCTGTTGCCAGAAATGGTCTGCCAAGTATCAATGGAACGTCCTTGTCCTCTTCCTTGTCCAGGATAAGAAAGTCCGCTGGGAATATGAACTTCTCAACCTTGATAAGCACATCTTCAATTATTCCTCCGGGATGTCTCAATGACCTGTCAGCCAGCTGAAGTGTCACAGTGGTTGCTTTTGCTTCTTCCAATCCTAGTTTCCTGAAAACAGACAAAGGCATTAAATTAATACTTGCACCGAGATCACATAACGCTTTATCAAAATATACTTCACCGATTGTGCAAGGAACAGTAAAACTCCCTGGATCTTTTAGTTTTGGTGGAAGTTTATTCTGAATTCTGGCACTACATTCCTCAGTAAGCATGACTGTCTCATGATCTTCCAGCTTGCGTTTATTTGATATGATATCCTTTAGAAATTTCGCGTAGCTAGGCATCTAGAACAGTGCATCAGCTAGTGGGATGTTGATATGGAGCTTTTTGAAGATTTCTAGAAATTTTTTGTATTGTTGCTCCACTTTTTGCTTCTTCAAGCACTGTGGAAAGGGAATCGGAGGTTCGTAGGGGTTGACTGTGACTTTGGCCTTATCTTGTGATTCTTCTAAATTTTTCTTTGAACTTGATTCCTTTACAACAGTCTCTTCTTCAACGGAGGAAGATGTTTCTCCAATCACTCCTGGTCTCTTGACATGGATTTCAGGTAATTGAACTCCACTTCGAGTTGTAATGGCCTTGGCTTGCTCTTTAGGATTGATTTCTGTATTACTTGGTAAGTTACCTGGTGTTCTGCCAGTCAATGCGATGGCTAGCTGCCCCATCCGAGTTTCCAAATTTTTGATGGCTGCATTTTGATTTTGAAATGTAGTTTCAGCCTTCTCCATGAACTTTCCTATCATATCTTCCAATTGAGGCCTCTTCTCCTGTTGTTGAAATTGCCCATGCGGCTTATTCTGATTCTGGTTGCTCCACGAGAAGTTGGGATGTTTCTTTCAGCTGGGATTGAAAGTCTCACCATATTGATTATGCTGCTGGCGTTGTCCCCATTGTGCGTAATCTGCTTGCTCAATTCCTTGCATGAGTATAGGACAATCTGATGTTTTGTGCTCGGCTCCACATTCCTCACAATTGCTCTTCTTAGCTTGTGATATGCTTTCCACCTTGTGATACAGAGAATCAATTTTTGCAGAAATTGTTGAATAAGCGTTCACCTCATAGACACCTAGAGTTTTCTTTGGAGTCGCTCTCTCAGAAGACCACATGGCTGATGTGGTAGCCATTCGCTCAAATAATTCCAATGCCCCGTCAACTGTTCTTGTGGATATTGAGCCATCTGATGCTGGATCTACCATGCTCTTATGGTATGGAAGTAATCCTGTGTAGAAGAATCGAATCTGAGTCTTTTTATCGAACCCATGCTGAGGGCACTTCCGGAGCATGTTTTTAAATCTGTTCCAGGCTTCATCAAATGATTCAGTCTCTCCTTAATTGCATACTGATATATCATGTTTCAGCTTTGCTATCTTGGCTGGGGAGAAGAACTTTGTGCAGAACTTGTGTGCCAGCTCATTCCATGTAGTGATACTTGCAACCGGGAGTGAATCCAACCATTCAAGTGCTCTGTCTCGTAGCGTATGTGGAAAAAGCCTCAACCTAATGGCGTTATCCGAAATCCCTTGGTATCTGAAATGTTGACACATATTCAGAAATCGAGAGACGTGTGTGTGGGTTCTCCTCAGCCTTGCCATAAAATTGGTGTCCATTTTGAAACAGCTGTATCACATTAGTCTTCAACTGAAAATTAGGTTGCCCAAACGGTGGATACACTATGCTGGTCTGGCTTTGAATCACTTGAGGAGTCAAGAAATCCCCCAGAATCTCATTCCCTTCGTCCATTGCCTCTCCTTCGTTAGCATGAATCATGGGATTGTTTAATTCGTTGGTGATTTGTACTTGTGCTTCGCAGTGATTTCTTTGTCATCGGTGAAAGGTGCTCTCAATTTCAAGATCATCTGGAATCAATTTTCCTCCAGGCAATCATGACATGCAAATCTGAGAATTAAAACCAGTACGAGCGTTGAGATTCAAACAATTTAATTAACTAAAACACAAATAGAGGATAATAAACTAAAATAAAAATAAGAACAAAAGTATGCTAGTAAAATAAATAAAAAATTAAGTTCGAATTAGTGCCTCAAGAAATAAAATTAAACTAAACTCAATCCCCGGCAACGACGCCAAAAACTTGTTCGCGAAATATTTTTTTCGATTTAAATTACCGTAAGTGTACGGGTCGTGACAAGTAATAA